CATAGCTTTTATCGCGGGCTTTCAGCGGCGACCGAATCAAGAAATTTCGTAACACCGTAACGAAAATAAACCAAACACCCCCTACTCCGACCGGGAACGGCACAGCAGTGTGACGTTAAAGCCATGGAATGTTACATCCGACCCTATTCGTATTAGTATGAAGCGGAATTAAATATACGTCTGCGGACTGGAACATTTGTGCAATACAAGAACTAGAAGAGCTTCTAATAAATTGGTATCACAAAGTTCCCGACAATTGAAAGTTTAGGTAATTCTAAACATACTAGTAATTTAGGCAGACACTTTTGAGAGGGTTTAATTGCCGGCCAACATAAAAATAAGTCTTATTTACTATAGAAAGAGATTTTAAATTCATATTTCGAAGTATAATAAAAATGCATTTATTTAGATGACTTATGTTTAAACTTTTAATCTCTCAAGATTAAAAATTAATACAATTAAGTAATAATGATACTTTTATAGTTTTTAAATCATATATTTATGTGATTCCATTAAATTACAATATAGGTATCATTTGACATTATAAAATTTTTCGTAAATATTTGTAATAAATTGTTATATATTATTATAGGTAAACGATTCCAAACATTTATCAATATGTCCTTGGTAGCGCAGAGTGTACAGTGGTCGTAATGTGGGTAGTGTGGATAACACGTTGGTGGTTCGAGCCCCGAAAATTTTAGTTTTTTTTTTTTTTTTTTTCTTAAAAAAAAAAGGAAAAATATTGTTTTATTATTTCACAAATGTTTAGTTTTTAAAAAGTATATACTTCTTCAATGCATAGTGGCGCATAACGAGGTTCTTTCAAGTTCAGCTAATTTTAAAAATGCAAGCTACCAGTGGAGACTTTGTTTATTTAAATTCAAAAAAATAGAAATAGTATATTACATTACAAGTGTGGAAAGTGACATTTTTCACACGAGTGGGAAATATTGTCGCACGAGGCACAAGCCGAGTGCGACTATCACACGAGTTTGGAAAATCACTGAATAAGTATATACTTTTTTATTTTGATGAATTATTTTTTATAATTTTCCACAGATTTTTTGACGAATTTTTGTTATTATCAATAAGTTTTCCATAGTACCTATATTTTGTTGCTTTAATTAGTTTTTCTAATATCCATTTAAAATTAAGGAATCTATTTTTTAAGCTATTGCATAGCTTTTATCGCGGGCTTTTAATTTTGAAAAAATTAGTTTTGCCTTAGCAACTGTTTTACAATACTTTCCTTCTTTACTGTTTTTAATAATTTTTTGTACTTCCACTAATTTTTATTAGTTACTATTACAAAATCATCTATTTGATCTTGAATGTCTAAAAATTTTTCAAAATTACTTTTAAAGAAGTAATTTCAGAGAGAACCGTTTATTTTATATAATAGGTGACAAATAATATACATATCGAATTGACATTAATTCATAATTAACATTTCATTAAACTTATATCTATAGCACAGTTTATAGCTTAAAAGAATCAGTTCGCTCACTCGGACTAATTGGATGTTCCAAAATAACATCCACTCCAGGGATACAAATTCAGGATGCGCAGAAGACTGCTGTTTGAATATAAGCGGTTGTCATATATTGTATTAGGCATTCCAAACTGGCAAGCTTTGTGACTATTATTTCGAATAAAAAAAAACGTTCAAGATGCAAGACTATGTCTCTACCCCCTTAGATATACCAGACCTTCTCACTGACAGCTATTGTTTGACAGGTCGTTGGAATGCTTAATTGGTAATAGTAAGAGAGCCCACTGCAAATTACGACCGCCATCTGATAACAAAATTAAATATGCTCCAAAGACATGTAACAGCATTGTACTTTACCAAATTGCACCTGTGCCAATCTGTAATCCACAGCAAAGTGGTTAAAAAAATTATTTTATATTCAAAAAATTACATAAGACATGACAGTGTTTTCTCTGAAAATTACAATCCTAATTCATTGTGAATTATTAATATTTTTACCTAACTTTGGCAGAGATAGTCAATAATAATTATAAACTCTTGTTAGACAATTCTTTTAAACCATAATCATAGTAGTTTTTTGTCGTTTCTATGACAACCTGTAAAATGAATCAAAACAATAGGCATACAAATAAATTTTTAAATCAGCAAAAATTGATTTATATTTTTAATGATTTTTACCTACTAATCGTGTGTAGATGTTTTTGTGCGATGTTAAGAGGAAGAAAATATTTCTCGTTAACGATATATATCAAGATATATTTGAATATGTTATTATCTGGAAAACTTTAAGGGCAAACAAAATTAGCGCTGTCATGCCTTATGTAATTTTTTTAATAATAAAATACTTTGCTCAAGATTGGGATTGTCACAGGTGCCATTCGGTAAAGTACAATGTTTTTACAAGCTTTTGGGGTATATTTTATTTCATTATCAGATGGCGGTAAAAATTTACAGTAGGCCCTTGGGCTATTATGATTTGATTCTGTATGCGCCAGGGATACAAATCCGAGTTGCGCAATGTATAAACTGGAACATTGAGATCAAAAGTGCCGACGCAGAGTGAGCGAACTGATTCTTTTAAGCTATAAACTGTGTCTATAGTAACATAGTAACAGTGGCGGCTCGTCCATCAACAAGCAAACTTAACAATAGTATATTATGCAACGATCATGTATTAATAACCATTACATGAGAGTTGCATACGCTATTTTTTTCTACACCCGATAAATAATCAAGAACTATAAATATTATATTTATATTTGTATTGAACACAATAACAGTAATTACTTGTATTTCTATAAAAAATTCTACAAAATTGTAATTAATGGTATTACTTAGGGTATTGGTATTACCATAGATTTTTGGGGCAAAATATTTTGTACTGCTTTCTACGATATGTGTGGAGGAGTTAATTCTATATCGCTGATATCATACATTTTGATAATATAATTATCGAAGTTTAGCTATCTACGAAAGTTTAATACGTACTGATTTTGACAACTAAAACAATTACATGGGAACCTAGGAAAACCGTCAAATGCGCAACATGGTTGATTGAAAAATTATGGGTTTCTATTGATTACAAATCTGTATCGTTATGAAACATCTGTATCATAATGGGTATCATTATGAAACGGATTATGGGCATATTAGTCCAGTAACTGAAGGGACCAACCTGTCATTAAGTCGGTCCAGATTTCCGTTGTGGCTCAACTCTTAGGTCTCGGTGGTCGCTTCCAAGGTCGAAAACTTTTACCAACTCTGCTGCGTCGGAAAGGGCCCAAAATGGACCCTAAAACTGGTTTCCCGCCAATATCTTCCACAATATGCAAATTAGAGAATTTTTGCTTAGATAAAAAAGAAAGATCTTATCATTATCTACAAAAATGGTTCCTATCATTTTTGTCGGGAATTCGACAGGTTTCGAGATAACCGCAATCAAAAGTCCCCTCGTTCAGTCCCTGCTTTATCTCTATAATAATGCTGATTAGCTTGTAAACGGGTGGACAAATTGTTTCAGAAATCGGTCAAAAATTGATATTTTTCGATGATTCAAAGTTCATTATAATGGGAAAACCCATAGGTGTCGATCCATGTGCCTTGAAGCCGGTTATTTCCTGTCAAGAACATTGAAAAAGGGGTCAAAGCGCGTTTTCCCACTATTTTGGATCACTTTATAGTAATTCATTCATATTTTTTTTCTTTTAATAGTTTTTTATCCCATTTTTGTTTTAAATGGGATCTTGAGATGTCTCGAATGATTTCAGAAATTTTTTTCCAGTTTCTTCCTGGCGTTTTAAAACAAAATTGATTTGTTTATTTGCATTTTTCATACGTTTTCGGAGTTCTAGAAATCTTTGAAACAAGCAGTAATTAAAAACTCATATTTTATTATATTGTTATTCAATGCACACCATTTTAAAGCTTAGAGTGTCTACTTTTCAAATGTTTTTTTTTTTAATAAAGTTGCTCCATTTTCCAGAAATCGGGAAAATTGATCACCGGACTTTTTTTTTTAAATACTTCTTGTTCCCCGCTGTTCATTTTTTTGAACATTAATACCCAGACCGAAGTGAAGCTGATATTCTCACCTTTCCATTTCTATCAATTGATCCCGTATGTGAGCGTGGTTCTTAACTGTTAGAATTATCTCCCCCATTTTTACGCTCTCCGCCTGAGATCCATGATATTCCATCATAACCTAACCACGTGTACCCATGCGCTCACTTTAGTCGTCTGTTTTTGTTGGTATACAATCTGTTGTTTTTGGAGTCGTTATTGTCGGTTGTTATATATTTCTTATACTTATACTATACCTATTTGAATTGTAACTGAGCTAGTTAAAAAACTAATAAAAGGCCTAAAATAATAATTTATTTTATGTAAAATGATGAAATGCTCGCCTGTCTGTGGTTCGTGTCAGTCGACACAGTGTTTTAATTATAACAAAAATGAAGGTATTTTCCCGGAAGAATTAGAGATGGATCGAGACCCAGAAGAGGTTGAAGGGGAGGAGGATGAAATAGCTGTCGAGACAGCAACACAGGGGTTGGAAAAACAGGGGGAAGGGACGCGTGGAGGAGGGGAAGGAATAAAGAGCAAGACGATGAAGAGTATGATTCTGATGACATTGAATGGTTTAACGTATGATAAATTATAATGGTAGAGACCATTTTTGTAGATAATGATACGATCTTCATTTTTTATCTAAACAAAAATTGTCTAATTTGTATACATATTTTGGCAGATATTAGCGGGAAACCATTTTTTCGGGCTTTAGGGGCCATTTTGAGCCCTTTCCGACCCAGCAGTGTTGGTAAAAGTTTTCGCCCTTGAAAGCAACCGTCAAGACCTAAGAATTGAGCCACAAAGGAAATCTGGACCGACTTAATGACAGCTTTGCATATTTTCAGGTCTTCAGTTACTGGACTATATAAGTGCATTATTATAATACGGGTGTAGAAAAATTAATATTATACAACTGATATCTCGAATACATTTTCAGATGGTGCTGGACACGGTATATTTATGCATGTGTCAAAGCGGAGACGCCCCCGACGGCATAAGGATGCAAAATCTAGGAATCAACACTAACGGAAATCGAACAATGCCAGAAGAAGTAGCGTTGGAATAAAAACGAAATTGAAAGAAGAATTTCGTTAAAATGGCGCCGGCGAAACAATTGCTTATTTGCTGTTTAGAAGGAATGGAAGGAATCGTAAATGACATACCTACTTACTCTAGTTCCAGGCGGGACGTAATTTTTCGGTAAAAAAAATTGAATCGGTGGTGATTTTTTTAAATTTGTATGGCTGTCAGAAATAATCTAAAAATGTGATTAGTAATCGATTATTAATCGATTGATAATCGTTTAATAATTGAATAATATTCGATTGTTAATTGATATTTAATTTGATTGATTACTTCATTACTTGATTGATTAATTGATTAATTGTTAATGGATGGTTAATCAATTATCAATCGATTTTTAATCGACTGTTAATTGATTATTAATTTATGAAAATTCATATAACGGTTAACGGAATACTCGATCTCTCGATTAATTGAATCATCGAAAAAAAAAATCTAAAATAAAAATCGATTATTTTCAATTAATAGTTAACGCCCGTATGCACCGTACACGTTTAATCCAGATCAAGTGTTTAATCGCGTTTAGTACCATAGGTGAATATGGTACTAAACGCGATTAAACCTTTGATCTGGATTAAACGTGTACGGTGCATACGGGCGTTAGTGAATTTTCTGAAATTAATTAACAGTCGATTAATAATCGATTAACAATTTATTAATAATCGATTAAAATCAATTATTTTCGATAATCAATTAATTTAGAATAATCGATTATTTATGGCAGTACGAGTAGTCTCAATACAAAACATTTTAGAGTACGAAATAATAATGTTATAAATATCAATCGTTGATGCAATGCCAAAAGCAAAAATGTGCAAATTTTCAGTTTTAAGAATGTGTTAAATTCGTACCTTAGGAATTGAAGTAACTGCTGAATTTCCACTTTCTCAAAATATATATCGAACGTGGGCGGGTAAGACTCACGAGTCACATTGATTTGGCATTGATAACTTTGATTAGTACTCGAATTATTTGATTAAGTTTCTTAGAAAAATCGATTAATTGAATAATCTAGAATAATCGATTATTCAATTAATCGCTCAATCCTATCGATAATTCGATAGTATAGAAAAATCGTTTGATTACATTATTAATATGTAATTGAATAATAATCGATAAATTAATAACAATCGAATGTAGGATTAAAAATCAAATAATATCGGATTGTTCAGGAATACTCAATTTAACGATTAATCGAAATTAATCGATTTTTATTAATTATATGAAGAGCAAAAGTCGAATTATCGAAAAAAATCGAATAAGAAAACAATAAGAATCGATTACTTTAATTTAAATCCTGAATTTTAAATAATCGATTATTGTTTGAAAACTACTCTTCTGAAGTGATAAAATTTTTAATTGTCATTTCTGAGCTCGATACGAAATTAAAAAGAAAAGTTTTTAACCTACCGCCTAGCGTGCTAGTAAAAATTAGGCACACATCATTTAATATATTTTATATATAGTGCGAATGAAAGGAATAATTTAATTATTTCGCAACTCGTTAACTTTGAAAACGAAAAAATTTTGAAACTGTTTTTATTTTTAAACGCGCGTTCTGTCAGATTTTTCTTTTATTTGTGAGTGTGATGACGTCACCGATTTTTTAAATATATACATTCTTCGTATGAGATAGACATTTTTTCAAAATATATTTTATTTATTTAAATATAACTTACTTTATTACATAAAGATTAGATTAAGAATGATATAATTTGAAAAGTTGATATCTATGAGAAACTCGACATAAATACACAGGTAAATGGATCATGTAACTTATGATACGTCATTTGAAAGGTCTTTTAGTTATCTATACAGTCGTATAAGTTTAAGTAATTCAGGTTTTTACAATGTTTTCTTTCCAGCGACGGTTTTTACTAAATTTACTTTTCGGTATTTACAGTTTACAAACATGAAAAACGTATCTTGCCAATATTTTTTTGTTGTTTATTGAAATTTATTTATCTCACACTTTGTTGTTAACGACGTGCTCAAAGAGCAACGTGGGACACACCGTATAACAGAATTTAACGTTTTCTTTGAGCACGTCCTTAACAATAATATCTAAAATACACTTTGTTGTTAACGACGTCGCACTCTATTATATAATGTGGGATACCCTATAAAATAGATTATTGTCAGTGACTCAAAGTGTATTCAGATATTGTTAATAACGTGTTTCTATTATAGGGGAGAGTGGGCCACGTTATGACATTTTTTACATTTTTTTATGTGGCAGCTACACTTTAAAGAATTTCAAAACTCTAACGGTTCCGAAATTAGTTATAAACCATAATCATGTAATAAAATTCAAATATAACCAGTGTAGTTTTATTTTTTGAATTCTCTAAACGAATTACTTTGTCGCAAGGTGGCCCATACAATAGGCCACTTTGAAACATGCTAAAGGTTACCTTGATACAGTAAAAACTAAATCAATGCAAGGAAACAAATTATATTTATTATTATTTATTATATGTATTCAACGATTTCAACATTATCGAAATTGATACCAAATGATATGTATAATTGTTGCCTTTTGGTGCCATCACAGTTAATTGGTGGTAGCAAAATGCATTTAACATCAGTTTGTTTAACTAAAGAAACATCTTCGATTATGGGAAATATAAAAGAGTTTTTGATTTTTGTACTGTAACGCAAAAACTTCACCTCAAAATCAGCCTCTTGAATGCTAATAATTCTGCCGACATAAAACAACTTTTTTATCTTTAAATTCAACCAATATACAGTGCTTCTCAAAAGTCCCCTCCCCCCCCCTCTTTTCTTTTGAACGGTGATACTTAAACTGATGAAATTTGGAGGGTGAAAATGAACTATTGTAAGCTTCTCTATTATTGGTAATAGGTGACGTAATAGGCATCGGTGACGTCACCAGACAACTGAAACCAATAATAATAATAATAAATGGGACCTTATGGCAAGTGACACCTCATTTGAAAGGTATTTAGAATACCTATTCAATCATACTATTTTTTTTGGATTTACGATATTTTTGATGGTTAAAATAAATAAACACTAAACTTTGAGTTTCGCTCTTAATTAATAAAGATTCGAAAGTCCGCCTATGGTTAATTGTCAAAAAGGCAGAAATTTTTTAATAGACCTTTTTACCGGCGATAATATCTGTTTAGTTTAATTATTGTTTAAGTATCTACATAAACAAAATGGTACGTGCTTTAGCTGACAAAGTAACAGCAATCTTAATTATTGGTGAACGTGGAAATAATTTTCATGCGGCGGAACGCATTTTTAATGAGAGATACCCCGATCGCCCTATATCGAGGACTTATTTGAGGGAGCTTTTTCATAAGTTTCAACAAACCGGTAGGTTCATGATTCCAAACGATCGGGTCGACCAAATAATGGTATTAATAAACAAATTGATATAGTTGCAGAAATTGTAGTAAACCCTACTTCTTTCACAGCCCAAGTAGGTCTACCTTTGGAGTTAGTCATAGTACAGTACACAGGGTGTTGACCAAAAACAAATTTCACCCATGCAAATTAAAAATGGTGCATCAACTTTCAGATGACGACCCTGATCGAAGGCTGGAATTCTGTGAAAATATGTCCACTAAAATTCTCCAACAGCCAGACTATGTAAGGCATAGAAATAGTATAGAAAGCCGATTCCATATATCAAAAATGAAACCATAAGGAGAAAATAGTGTGTCGGAGCTCATGCGTATAACGGTGCTGGCGCGAACAGGACCGGTGCAAGTTTTTTATTGATCGAACAAATAGTTCGCACGAGATTTCAATCATACATTTTTAGAGATGATTATATACAAAAAACGATTAAAAAAATTTCAAGTTAAGGTAAATATGGTTCTGACAGTCCTTATTAAGAAAGATATGGCATAAAATATGAATTAGTTAATTTTCGGCAATCATTAGTACAGTAGTCATGAGATTTTGCTTGTGATTTTATAAATACTTTCCAGAAAAACCACGTGCTCCGGTTTTGACTACGTTTATTATTAAACAGCGAAATTATATACAAAAACTTTAATCCACAATCTAAATTAGGTACTATCACAAGAAAATCACTGTTACAATAATTAATTACTTAACCAAAAACTAAAATACTTTTTAGGTACCTACGTAACCAGAAAGGAGCTGGACCATTTATCCTAATATTGATTTTCTCTCTCTTTACGGTAAAACTTAAAACAATAACAAATTGCCTATCTACTAGGGTCGGTAACTAAACGTATATACATAATGGGCGGATTTTGTTTATACTTAACATTACACTCGCGCATTTAAATATAACTATGCATATAAATATTTACAAACAAAGATACTTTTCCAAACAGGCAATCATTAGTACTGTAGTCACGAGATTTTGCTTGTGATTTGACATCTTATTTGATAATATCATTTGCTACAACTAAATTTAATCTGGGGAATGCAAAATAGGGCCCAGGAATATTATGTTCGATATTTTTTTACATTTTGTCAGCCGAGACTATGAGTCGTTAGACAGAAAACCTTTCATGTTACCATTTTCAATATAAATTAAAAAATACTACTACATTTACTTGGTACATATTTTATTTTAATTTTGAACCTTTTTAAAAGGGTCTTTCGGTTCCATAATAAAAATTAGTTGCTGCTTACTAGAAACATTCTATATAGCCTAAACCAATTTATAGTTTGTTTTCGATCAATTTAATACAAAGATTTAAAGTTTTTAGTCGATGATAACATTCCACACCAGCACATTGCAAACCTATTTTATAAATAATAGGAATAAACTTGTAAATCATTAATTTGGTAGTTATCCCACTCATATGATTTTTTTGTTTATATGACTATTTCGATTTCTAAATATATTTTGGCCTTACAATACGAAGCGTTTTGTATCTACCACTTTTTTAATGAACGATGAATGTTGGCAGGCGTGTACCTTTTTCGGAACAAGAGGCGTTTTAACGAAGGAGATGATTTTCGAACTATTTAGTTAGTTTTCGGAAAAACGTTTGAAGAAAGTTGTCAATAACAGTTTGTCGTTCATGTGTTTCATTTTGATCAGCTTTCATACTAAATTGCGTAGAATATTTTTCCGATTCAAAATCGAGATTCTCGATATTTCCACAGTTTATTTATAATACCTTCTAAACTGGATTTATCTATCATTTTATATACTTTATAATATATGTTCATGCCCTACTTTTCACTTTATTAACAATTTTTTTTTAACATACTTCAAAATGGTAGGATCTCAATTCGTTGAAATATTTTTTTATGTATGTTGAGCGATAATTCTTTACCACGTTGCCCGATTTCTAGGATTATTTTTGTTAGAAAAGGAAACAGTTTTATATACATTAAGTCAAGATCTGAAGATGGGATCCATAAGAAAATCATTAACATCTTTATTTTTAAAGTAGGTTTTTTTTTAAATTTCTTTAAACCTTACTGGTTCGAACGCGGTAAGGAATGAAGAAATGTAAATAATTGTTGTGCCAGCCAAAAAGCGAAGAGGAAGTACCGATTAAAATATCGAGTGACAGAAGAGTTCCTAA